TATATTCATTTAAATTCATTTTCTGGGAAAAATCTCGAGTATATAGGTATATACGGAAAACCAAAAGCCCACTCACTGGTATGTCGAAGGGTCGTAGCCCCTAAGCCTTGATTGATGGCGCTCGTCCTCAGGATAGGTCTCACCTATATGCGAAATAACTGAATAAACGTTATTTAAAGCACATAACCAAAACTAGGTAATAATTTATCATACAATGCTCAAATGGGGTATTTGAATATACCACCATGATCTACTCAACCTCAGGAACATCCCCATACTTTTAGAAAAAATTTCCAACCACCTACACGCCACGAAGCGCCGGCCAAGGCACGGCCAGACAGGCCGCCCACTCGCGGGCACGTGCCAGACACATTGACGAAACAGTTAATACCGTTAGGGAATATTCCATTAAAAGTAGCATATTCCGTTAAAACTAACCTGACACCGTTAGAATATTCCGTCAAGTTTGACGAAATATTCTCTGTCTTCTTCCTTCGAACTCCGATGACCGTCGATGTCGTCGGAAAACTGGGGAATTTTCAAACCTTAATATCTCAGTCCATACACAACCAAAATCCATGAAATTTGTACCAAAATGAAGCTTACAACGAGTAGAACAAAACCTTACCTTTCAAAAGTCCTAAAACCGATGGAACTCGTTTAAGGGCATAATTGACATTTCACGCCTAAAAATATAGTATTTCGGGACGAGTTGTGACATGGCAGCCATGTCATCACAAATGGGGACCCCATACTTGCCACGTCATCACTTAACAGTTAATTTAACAGATTTTTTAATGGTTGTATGAAATTGAAATAAAATGATAAGTAAATATATGAAATTGAAATGTTTTAAAGATATTGTAAGGAATTGAAATTGACCATAAACCTGAAAGGGTAAAATTTAATTTACCCTAAATTTAAACAAAAGTAGATCATGGACACAATTTTTTTATTTGAACAAATAGAATAAAAAACCGAAGATTATTAGGACAATAGCAAAAGAAGCAAATATTATCTAGAAATGAACGAATACTGAACACCAGGTGGGAAAAAACTATAGTCATAACTGATAAGCAATTCACGAACAAAAGAAAAAAACACTGTTTTTAAAAACAACGCAGAAAAATAACATTGAATTCAGAGCTGTATTTAGATTACACAAAAGTCAACTTAAAAAACCACAAAGAAAGAAAGCAAAACTGAACAACAAACCTTTTCAAAAAACAACAGTCACACCCTTCTAACCTCTGATTGATCCGTAATAACAAAATTAGTCTGAAATGAAAAGAAATCGTATTAATCAAATGAACTCAGAACATAAAACCAACAAAAAACAACAGAGAAAAACGAAGACACCCATCTTTATTTAAAATGTGTACCAAACAAAGACCAGCGGACTGAGCAGCAACTGTCCCAGCCATTAACCAAAGATAGCCATTCGAAACATCATATTATGCAATTGTGAGTGAGAGTCAGAGTAAAAGTAAGACCAAAAGAAATATTATATTGTGAGATTGTGAGAAAGAGTGAAAATAAGAGTGAGAGAAACACACAAATTCTACAACGAAAACAAAAAACAACGAAATCACACACACACTAAGTGAGAAAAAAAATTATATTGTGAGATTGGGAGTGTGAGAGTGAGGGTAAGAGTGAGAGAAAAATTATATTGTCACATTGTTAGTGAGAGTGATAGTGAGAGTAATAGAGAGAGAAAGCCACGAATAAATTTTTTGTTATGAAAGAGCAGGCAGACTACGTTCATTCCTTTATATTCTCCCTCCAGAAGGTTGTTGACAATTGGTAAAATTGATAGCCTACAAAACTCAAAAATAACTATTTTTTAAGATACAGGATTAATGAAAACTAAAAAATAAACAACAGAAAATGTTAAGTCATTCAATACTAAAATAGCTTCTTTCTATATTGTATGTACGTTGTAGTATTGGATGACTTAATGTTTCCTATGTGAGATCCTCAAACAGCCAAGAAATAAAATTAATACTGACGCAAGTACAATTAGATGCTTTAAATGAATTACTTGTCAAGTCTAAATGCTGAAAATCTCAAAGAATATCAAATATTCAACATCACAGTCACATGCACCACAAAAGTAGATGTACATTATCTCTAAAGTATAGACCAGTAAACAATTAGAAATGCACGTCACGGTATGTAAAGTAATTTGCAAAACCCAGGATTTACAAATGTAGTTCAAGGCAAAGTCAATTGGACTTCAATTGTAAAAGGCAAATTCAAAAAACACAGATTTCACAAGGATAAGTTAGCCTAAACCCTAAACCCTAAACCATAAGAGCAACTCCACCTTTGTGGATTGCTCGGGGGACAGGCGAGAGAAGAAGGGCCCGAGGCCCTGTGGATTTGCTCCAACGTGAAGGAGCCCGAGCGGAGGTGGAGGCTCGAGCGGAGGGCCTGTGAAGAGTTGACAACCCGAGCTCCGGGCCTTTTTTTAATTTGTTTTCTGTCAGGCGCGTGCACCCCACTCGAGCGTGGGGGCGCGTCGCCTGACAACTTTTCAGAAAAAAACAAAAGCCTTTTCAGACTTAAAAGTTACTGTTGGGAAGCCACGTGGCTTTCCACGGTCTGTTCGATCTCAACGGCTATTTAACTTGGACCGTTCGATCTCAACGGTAAAAAAAATAAAAAAAAATCTTATTTAATATCAACCGTTCAATCTGAGATCAACGGTCGATATTAATATGCTCTATAAATAAATAAATAAAACGAAAAAATAGTTTTAAAATGAAGAAAAGTTACATTTGTGACACGTGGCACAATTTGGAGTGTTGGAATTCAATTTTTTTTAAATCCAACGGCAGAGATTAATTATTTGAATAAAAAAAATTTTAAAAATTGTAAAAATATCTGAAATTTTTTTTAAAAAATGCGTCTACTTTTCTATAAATATTTTCTCATTATCATCTACCTTACACCACAATTTCATATGTTCTCAACTACTTTCAATCACATTCCTATCTTTCTCTCAAAGTTTCAATCCAATTTTTTCAACAAAATGACTACTGATGCAGGAACGAATTGGACGTCTCTTGAAGATGTTGCATTGTGTACTAGCTGGGTTGAAGTTACTCATAGTTCGGGTACGGGTAATGAGATGTAGTTGCGAGAAATGTGGAGTCTTATTTATACCAATTATCTTGAGAAAATGGGTGGGAGTAGAACCAAAGAATCGATGTCTAGTCGTTGAAAATTACTTAGCCAATCGTTTACTATTTGGAGATACGCCTTGGCACAAGCTAGTAGTAATCTTTGAAGTGGGAAAAATTACACGAATCAGGTAACAATATATTATTTATTTGTTTGTACTATACCCAAATTTAAATTGTAATTATTTGTTTGTATTATTTATTTGTTACCTACTTTAATTATATTTATTTGTTTGTATTATTTATTTGTTACCAATAATTTGTTACCTACATTAATTATAATTATTTGTTTGTATTATTTATTTGTTACCTACCTTGATTATAATTATTTCTTCTCCCCCATTATGTAGCTAATTCAAGCACAAGCTTGGTATGGTGCCAAAACCAAAACAAAAAATAAATCATTCAACTGGTGGGAATGTTGGAATATTGTCAAAGATTGTCCTAAATTCAGAGTTATGCATGTCGGTCCAGAAGTTGTCATGAACAGCACCCCGCTATACTTTACACCTGATAATGGCTCGCATGAAGATGATGCAGAAGAAGTGCCCGAAACGTCCATCCCTGAACAAGTGTTGGGTTCGACCCGTTATCCAATTAGGCCTCAAGGTAAGAAGGCTTCAAAAAGAAAAAGAAGTGCTTCCAAACATGATTATGCAAAGTACATGGAAGAACTTACTCGCCATAGTGAATTAACTTTGGCGCGGGAAATGGCGAAATTTGAGGCTGATAAGGCTAGAGAGGAGGCAAACGATGTAGCTGTTGAGAGAGAATTTCAAGCTAATCAGAGAGAAAGAGAGCTACTTAGGCAAGAAAGGGAACTAGTTAGAGAAGAAAGAATGGCTCAACGAGATCGTGAGATTATGAACACGCCTTTAGAAGGGAAATCTCCAAATTCTAAATATTTTTGGAAGTCGGAGAAAGAGGATGTGATGCGTAGGAGGCGTGCAAGAGAAACGAGAGCAAGAGGAGATGGTACTAGCACGACAAGAGAAGATCATCCTAGCACCACAAATTGGTTAAGTGATGATGATTAGAGTACTTTTTGTAATCGGAGCCTATAGTTTTCCAATCACCTTAGGTTGTAATTTATTATTTATTGAATTGAGTATTTTATGTTGTTTGAATTTATTGAATTTAGTACTTTATTTAAAGTGAGAATAAATTTATTTAATATGGTAATATATTTATACTATAAGAGAATCTTTATTCAAATGACATAAACACACCAAATAAAATTACATAAACACACCAAATAATAAAAACCTCAGTAAAATGAACTAAAATAAAACACACCAAATAAAATTACATAAACACACCAAATAATAAAAACCTCACTAAATGAACTAAAATAAAACACACCAAATAAAATTACATAAACATACCAAATAATAAAAAAAACACACTAAATGAACTTGATTATCTTCAGCTTGTTTCAATGCCCACTGGTGCTCTATCAAGTCATTTTGTCGGGCATTGTGCATGTCTGGCCTTTGAAATGCAGTATATCGTTGAATGACTCTTTCATTATAACTTTCATCCCTTTCTAATGGCTCATGTTGCACGGGCTCATTGATGGCGTCATGAGCACAATATATACGTGTTCTTGAATTGTTCATCGTGTCTGCCTCATATTCATCAACGGCTTCATAATCGTACTCATATTCCACAATCATGTTGTGAAGAATGATGCACGTCATCATGATGAATCGAAGCGACTCTACATCAAACAATCTGGCAGCACCCCTGACGATCGTCCAGCGAGCTTGGAGGATACCGAAACAACACTCCACATCCTTCCTGCAACCCTCTTGACATCTTGTAAAGTGTTTTTCCTTTGCACTTCGCGGACGTGGCACTGTTTTGACAAATGTTGACCACCTTGGGTAAATGCCGTCAGCTAGGTAGTATGGCCCATCCTACATACGTCTGTTGACCTCATACGTGACTTTTGGTGCCTTTCCTTGCAGGACATCGTTGAACACTGGGGATTGAGCAAGGACATTGAGGTCATTTTGAACTCCCGGAACCTCGAAAAAGGCGTGCCAAATCCATGTATCAAAAAAAGCCACTGCCTCCAAAATGATACATTTTGCTCATTTTCTGTCTCCATAAGCATCTTGACATGCACTTAGACAGTTTTTCCATGTCCAATGCATACAATCAATGCTCCCAATCATCCCAAGAAAACCTCACATCTCGACCTTCTTCAGAAGCCTTTCCAAGTTCATGTGAGTAGGTTTCCGGAGGTACTCTGCGGTGTAGATAGATTCAATTGCTCCGTAAAACCTCATCAAGGACTCAAGAATGGTTGATTTCCCCAACCTCGCTATCTCATCCACTTGGTCTGCAACTGCTCCATAAGCAAGCATCCGTAACGCAGTAGTAATTTTTTGCTCAGAAAAGAGACCCATAGCACCACAAGCATCCTTCTTTTGCACAAAGTAAGAATCATGGTTGCAAACAGCAATCATGATTTTGTTGAACAAATGTCGTTCCATTCTAAAACGACGTCTGAAGTACATATCAGGAAATGCACTATTATGAACAAAATAATCATCCAACAGCTCCTCACCTCGTTGTTGCCTGCTTCTATTAAGGTTTCTGGAACGGGTGGGCCTACATATATGAGCCACAGCTTGGATGACTCGACGAGAATGTGAGTCTCTGGCCATTCTTGCTTCGTCATCTCTCATTCTCCGCTCATCATCCTCTTCCTTCTCATTTTGGGCTATATGGAGATTGAACATTCCTTCAGATTGGTTAAACAATTCTTCATCTTCTTGATCGATTTCCCACATCATGCTTGAAGAAGAAGAAGACATTGTAAGTAGAAACTATGAATAATGATATAGATTTTGATTTGGTGAAGAATGAAGCAGAAACTATGAATAATGATAGAGATATTAAGAAAATTGGTGTGAGATTTAAAAGGATGGATGATGGATTATATGGAGGATTCTGAAATGATTAGGTTGTAGATAGTGCCACGTCACATGCTGTCATTCGTTAAAAATTTGATCGAAATCTATTTTAAAAGATTCTGAAAAGATAACCACACGTGGCACGACGGCATTGGATAAAAATCTTATCGAAATCCATCACCAATAATTATCTTTTTGGATAATGACACGTGGCGTAACGAGAACGATTTAAAATCTGATCGAAATCTATCTTCAAAGATTCTAAAAAGATAACGACACGTGGCACGATGACATTGGATAAAAATCTTATCGAAACCTACGACCAATATAGTCGTTTTGGATAAATGACATGTGGCGCAACGAGAACGATTTAAAATATCTTATCCGAAATTACAAAAAAAAATTATTTAGTATTATTTTGTAAAAAAAAATTAATAAATATTTTATTGCCTATTGACAAGGCTATTCAAATGCAAGGTGGAGATGTAAAAGGCAATTACTGTTTACAAGGTGGATTAAATAGTGGATTGCCTGAGGGAGGGCTCCAAGGGTGGAGTTGCTCTAACCATATCCATTCCTCAACAAAACAACGAAATCACTCACACACTAAAAAGCCAAACAAAGAAAGGAAACCCCAAAAATTAAGGGATATTTAGAAATATAGCCATTTTAAAGAGCACTTATTAAAATATAACCTAATTTTTCTATTTCTTATAAAACTAACCAAAATTGATGTTCAAAGACTTAATTATCCTTAACAGTAAAACTCTCTCTTCCTCCCAACGTTGTGATTTTTTTACTGTCGACCTCATCACTGTCAACCTCACCCCATTGTTGAACCACCAGGCGTTCACTACTCCATTCAAATTAAAATGGAGATGAGGGGGTTTGGAGAGGAGAAACACCAAATTTTCATGACTAACATCAAAATTAACTAACTAAAAAAATGAGAATAAGAGCTAAGAACTAGCTAATCAGTTAATTAGTGATGTGATTAATACTAATTAGTGAAGAGCGGAACAAAATCAATTAGGTTTACTGCTAAAAGCGAGGCAATAGCAAGGCAACGATGCAAATTTGGTTGAAGGTGTTCTCCTGCCTGGTAAAGGGGGAAACTGAAAGCTCTAGTTTTCCCAAGAATCCAATCCATGACTTGACAAAGAAGAATCTGAGCAGCCCGACGACGACGTTCAAGGAGGGGATAATCCCGACCCTTTGATGGTGATCTGGTCCTTCCATTCTGAGACTCGGTCCTCGTCGTCGAACTCGACAACCTTGATTTTGTCGTCGGAATCGTGAAGCAACGACTCTGATATGCTGCTGATTATTTAGTCACATGACTCCGAGAGGTAATCAAAAGCTGTTGAAGAGAATGTTTTAGTTCTAGGGCAATTTAGTCTTTTGAACATCAATTTTGGTTAGTTTTATAAGAGTTAAAAATAGTGGGTCGTATTTCAATACATGGTATCTAAAATGGTTATATTTCCAAATTTCCAAAAAATTAACCTATCGCCATTTCTCTTTTTTATTTTTTTTTCTTCCAATTTTAACATAGAAATTGAACAGCACACAAAAGAAGACCTAAATCTAAAAATCCACCAAATAGCCAAAGGAAACTCCAAAAATTAACCAAAAGCATTTCTTCTTCTTTTTTGAATTTTCACGCAAAAAACTGAACTACAAACAAAAGACTAGCCAAATCTAAAAATTTGCCGGAAAAAAAAAAGGAAAAAAAAAAGAAGAAGAAGAAGAAATCTAACAGCAAAAACATAAATTATATACTTCACCCAGAAAAGGCTTGCAAGATCACGCAATAATACCCTAAAATTGGAAGATGAATATTTCATGCAACAAAATAACGAAATCAGACGAAACACACAAAAATATGTTATGACCCAAATTATTACTGAGGTTTTATGCTTTATTACTGTGAGGAATTGTTAATATGCCAGATGGCATTTAAAAAGTGTAGAGGCTGTATAAAAGGAGCCCAGCTCCCTCAAATGTATCAGATCAGAATTTTACAAAAGAAATCAATACAAAAAAAATATTGGAGCTTTGCTCCTTCTTCTCTCCTTCCCTCTTATTCCATAGCTTTCTTGTGCCACTTGCAGGTTGATTAAGGGAATTGAGAATTAGATCTTATCAATGGTATCATCCTTCTCGAATCCTGGTTTCCCTCCTGTGGACGCCCACCCTACCCGTCTTCCTGCCATGGATGGCCGCCTCTCCGCTGCAATCAACTCATTTGAAGCTTCGATGCGTGCTACGCTCCGTGATGCAATCCGCGAAGCTTTGGATTCTGCATTCGCAAATCTCACGACGAATTTCAACCGTGATTGGGCCTTGCTCCGCCGAGACTCGGCTCTCAGAGCTACAGGAGTTTCTGATCCAATCCCGACGATTTCCGATCACACGCAATCAATCGATCTCGGTCATTCCGGACTTCAAGGAGACGATAATCCGCCAAGACTTCCATCTCCAATCGAAGTCCATTCCGTTCCGCCGTTGTTTTCGTAATCACCATTGTTGCGAGAAATCGTAGTTCCGTCCGTCAAGCCACAGTTGAACTCGAACGCTTCACTGGCAGCTCACACCAACAATAGCACACCATTTTCGCGCAACCAGGAAGCTCCAACAACTGTGCAGGGTTTTGGGATCCAAGACGGGGACGGCAGCCCACAGCGAATTAAGTGTCCGCAACGAATCGAATTTCCTCGATTCTCTATCAACGATGATCCATTCTCCTGGATCTCCAGAGCGGAGCAATTTTTACCCACTTCAGCACTCCCGCGTCCCAGAAAATCGCAATTGCCTCAGCTCATCTAGACAACGAAGCTTTGCAGCGGTGGTGTTGGCACAATTGCATTCACTCTGCATTGCGTTGGGAGGAATTTACAAGAGCTTTATGTTGAGATTTTGGCCCCTCCAAAATTGAAAACAGTGATGAAGCTTTGTTTCAGTTACCCCAAACTGGGGATATTCATGCAGCTATAATGGATGGTTCGGCCCCTGGGGCAGTTCGTTCCTGCAAACCACACTCGATCACCCAAGTCCATTATGTTCCACTGTTGCTCTCTTCTTCACCATTGTGGCGAGCAATGGCAATTCATCCTGTCAAGGCACATTTGAACGATACGTTGGCATCGACAATTCACACTAGTGTGCAGGGTTTTGTGTCTCTTTTGAGGAACACAGGAACCACCAAAATTGCAATCCCTTTTCTACTTGCAGACCAAAACATCAGTGACTCCATCAGCCTTGAGGAGTATGGAGATTACTGTAGCTTCAACCCACAGACTATATGTCTCTATATGTTGCCCTTAACGCATACAAACACCACGAAGCATCGACACGAGGTATTGACATCCTTGCTTTCCAATTTTACAAATCGGAAGGACAAATGGTATTGGGTTTTGCAGGTTATTCTGGCATATTATACTGGTGTTATTGTGATAATGTATGAAGACTTCTTAACTGATAAATGTGGATGGGGTAATTGGTACCTTGTGGGAAAATTTGTGAAGAAGAATTTTTATGCACTGCAACTGTTTAATCGTCTGTCTAAGAGAGGGAGTGCAAATGTACATGTGCTTTATGTGGCCTCTTTAGATATGCATGATTTAGAAGCTAGCCCTAAACTGGATGGTAGTAGCAGCAAGCCAAGGGTTAAAGAAGTGTCTTCTGAAGAAAAAAATAATGTGTCTCACATTGAGATTAAGATTACTGAATACCATGGCTCCGATGAAAAATGTGTTTGGAGGTATCTTAATCTTTCAGACAACGCCATGGGCAACTATGGTGTCAATGCATTTGAGTCACTTCTTAGTTCACAAAACAATTTGAGAGAACTTTATTTGATGAATATGGCAAGGCTCAATATGTGTCATAACACGAGGGAGTGGCACTGCGATGCTATTAGGAAGATCAAATGGCTGAATGAGAATGAGATTTCTGTTATGATCAATACCGAAGGACAAGCAAACTATGAAGGTTTTTCTAATTGTATCAAATATGGTGAGGAGCTCACTTTTAAGCTGTTGCTCTATTTCCAAGCTGTCAAGGCAAAAAGTCTTGGGTTTACTAAACTTGGGTCACCAAAAGAGGCTAAGAAGGTTGTTGGGAACATGAATGATGTTACTGCTAGTGCCAAACAGCTAAAGGAGATGGAACAAGGCTTGACCAGTTTGATAGTTTTGGGGAATGGGCGATTGTCTGATCTTATTGCATAGCTGCATGATATATTGGAGGGTGTAAATGAAGCTGATATCTAGCCGAAGAAGTTTGATAATGCAATTATTAAAGCTCAGATTCCACAATTGGCTCGAGACATCAGGGAGTTAACCTCATCTCGACCTGTAACCATCTACAATGAGAATTCTTCCTCTAGTGGGAATTATGCTTCATATTTAGTTCCACTTGCTGCACTTGCTGCAATGGGCTATTATTACATGTGGTGCAGAGATTGGTCATTTTCAGATGTGATGTATGTGACAAGGCATAATATGGCAAATGTTGTTGAAGCTCTAATTAAAGAGGTAGCTAGCAAGAGCAATGACTTTGTTGGGAATGGAACAACAAATACATTGAAGATGAGTGAATGCGCTATGGGCACCTATTTGGATTTAGTATGCTCTCTTAGTCACCTGGAAAGCAATTTTGGTGGTGCCTTAGTAATTGATTTGCATGATTTAAGCGTGTACAAGGTTGTGGATATGGCGACTAGGTTCGAGAGTGCATTGGTAGGACATGTTAACAATATAATTTGTAGTAGTACTATAAGATTGGAGAGACTTCACTCAGATGATTGGTGGTGTTCTACTATATCTCAGCTGCTGATGATTGGTAAATCCATCCTATCTAGTTCAAACAAAACTCAGGAAGAAAATGTGGATGTTGTTTTGGGAACCGGTAATCTGAGCCTACTAGTTGAGAACACTTCAGTTGAGCAGCTTGGTTTCGTCAGAAAGGTGACAATCTTTAAGGACTCCACTTCCATTATTGGTGATGCAGCATCAAAAGATAGGTTGCAAGTCCATGGTGTGTCTCCATTTGACATTATGGGCAGAATTCTTTTCTAGGAAAAGCAACTGCAAGGGCTGCAAATGGGAGCTGTCACAAGAAAGTTCATGGTGGTTAATTTCAGTTCTGGTTGATGAATCTTCATATCTCCCTCGGGTTGAAAATTTTGAGGAGGTGTCACAAGAAAATTATGGAGAGGCTAAAGGAAACAAGAACTCACTCACTCAGTTCAAGCGAGCTGCCATACCTGGAAGGATTATAATGATTTCAAAGTCAAGTTCTACAATTCCATTTTTAAGCCTTGAGGACAAGGCTAATTTTCAAGGGGGGAAGTATTGTTATGACCCAAATTATTACTGAGGTTTTATGCTTTATTACTGTGAGGAATTGTTAATATGCCAGCTGGCATTTAAAAAGTGTAGAGGCTGTATAAAAGGAGCCCAGCTCCCTCAAATGTATCAGATCAGAATTTTACAAAAGAAATCAATACAAAAAAATATTGGAGCTCTGCTCCTTCTTCTCTCCTTCCCTCTTCTTCCATAGCTTTCTTGTGCCACTTGCAGGTTGATTAAGGGAATTGAGAATTAGATCTTATCAAAATAAAGAAAATGTGGAGAAAAAACGCAAAGACCAGAATCTTACAACAATTAATTGAATTTTTTTTTTCTTCCTAACCAAATAGAAAATAGAGAAACAAATGAACCAACGTACCTAAAACAGTGCGATTCGTTTCTGGAAAACAACGGGAAGCACACTTAAACCACATTCACAAATGATCAGATTGGAATGGAAACAAAAGAGGTACAGCGATAGAAACAAGGCAAACACAGACAGAGAGAGAGAGAGGAGAAAAGAAGAGGAAAGGGAAAATGAAAGATGCTTCCAGCATTTTTCCCACGAAACGCGAAAGCCACACGAGCAGCAGGCACGGGCAACACATATGATGAAGGGCAAAATGGTCAATTTACCGCACAATCCCGCTAAAGCTGAAAAATCATGAAGAAAATGAGGGATGAAACCGAAACAGCACTGTTAATGAACCGTAGTTTTCCACCGGGTTTTAGAAGAGAGTTGTATCTCTACTTTTTGTTGACAACTATGATATCCATGCATCATTGATCGCGTATCGACAATGCGTTTCTCTTGACAAGTAAATGGTTTTGGTGACGCGCTCTCCCACTTGGGGATGGGCAAAATACCGTGGTTACCCGTCCATTTAAACTTTACGGTTACGGTTATGGGTAATCGTTTAGATAAATAAACGGTTATGGGTATAACTGTTTACCTGTGAAATTTAAATGGATGGTTATGAGTATTAACCGTGGTTATAACCAGGTAACCGTTTATAAACGGTTACAGTTAAATGGGTATGGTTAACCGTTTATAAACGGTTATGGGTATGAGTATAACCGTTTAGATAATTACCCAACGGGTAAACGATTCTTTTAGTATGAGCATAAACAGTTATGGGTAAATAATCGCGGTTACCCGGCTGCAATAACAGTTGCCGTTCTTATATTCATACAGAGATAATTTCACATCTTAACCGAACACGGCTGGGGAGGGGAGAGGAAACGTTCCTTGCTTGTCAGGGTACGCGCGGAGACATATCTAGAGGAGACGGGGTGGGGCCCGTAACTAAGAAGATTAGAGCACGTGGCCAATTGTAAACTTGGGTAAGAGATTTAGGCAAAGCTAAATGTAATTTAGCAAACCAAAGATGGAACCAGATGACCTCGAGTTTTCCTCCGTTGCACTAGGATTCAAGGCCATATGCTCAAATTGGTGTCTAGCCAAATTCTGAGCATTTCCTTGTCTGTAACCAGCAATCTTCTATACTCCACAGTAGCAGAAATTTTATCATCTAAAAGATCTTCATTGATCTGTTGCACTATTACAACAAGAAAATATTACAATTACCTTCGTATCGGTTCCGACACGGGCCAAAGAGGTCATGCTTAAGCCAAATACAATGCGTGATTGAATTCCCTTAACTAGAAGGTAAAATCGAATAAATTCCAATAGCTCTCTACCGTTCTGGCATCTATAAATTACAATATGTCCAACCATTTAAAGCCGTTTGTGATCAGGGTTAAAACAACTCCCCCGATGTTGCAATACGATTTAAGCTTCTTTCTTTTTAACACGGTATGGATACTTCTGGTATATTGAAATGCTGCTGGCCACGAGAGGAAGAGCCAGGAGACAATATAGTGAAGGTGGTTTCCCTTCAAAAACGAACTGCAGCATAGCAGTAACAAGAAGAGCAGAAACAATAACAAACCCCTGCAATCATGTTAGAGCTTCCGCGGTAAGTACTTTTAAAACTTAATAGGCCTTGCAAGAAGATAACTGTATAAGAAGTTTGTGTAAATCTAGAGGGAGTTATCTTCCCAGCCGTTCTCACCAAAATGATCACTCCGAAACTATAAGTGTATCCCAAAGGATTAGATTAACTTACCAAACAATTCTGTATATTTTGTCAGATTTTCAAAGATATGTGAATGAAGATCAGTATGAAACTTAAGAACTAGAGAGATATGATTGAGATGTTCCGCGAATAAAGCAGATCAAGGTAACCTAGCTATTATTTTCTTAAAGTAAGCAGCATGTTGATTCTAGTGATCAAGCATAACAGTGAATTCATAAACAATGTCAGGGTTTTATTTCTCTTCTCGTTCAGCCTAAGTTTGCAACGAAATTTCAAATAAAGCTAATAGTGAGTGAGGTTGAGAGCATCGAATAACTGCTATTGTTATCCTTGTTTTGTTAAACTTGCCTTTTTCACACCACCAGCATAACTTGTGACTAGGCCAACAAGAATTCCACCAAGGGCATTGGACATGACTGGGATCTGGAAAGAAAAAAAAACAGAACAAAAATATTATTTGGAAAGGTATGCAAATCATATTTAACAGAGAAAACATTACATTTGTTTTCTTTGCTAAGTACTATTTATTAAAAAAGTATATCTTCTCAATAATATTTGGGATGGGCGGTACTTCCTTTATTTATTTATTTTCCTTGGTGATGCAAGATGTTTCAAATACAAAAAAAAAGAAGAACCCAGTATGCACCGTTTTGCTTAACGTAAGATAATTACTTCCCACAGATATAGTCCAATAATTAAAATAAGACAGTTTTGCACAGAAATAGAATTAGAGCCCACTAAGAGAGCAACTTAAACTTGGAAACAAATTGTAAAAAAATAGACCGACTGTATAATTGTGTTTACAAAAGGGACTATATGGTTTCTATGGTTACAAATCAGACTCAAGAACACCAGGAAAGAAAAAAAGAAAAAAAGAGGAAAACAGACAACATGCGGATGGATATCTACAGGAACAGCAAACCATAGAGAAGCAGCATGACCATCCAAAATGTTTCCCTTTTAATTGAATCCATGAGCTGACGACAAACAATAATTTCTTTCATATGACGATATCTTTTCAGTCTGCCTTCCAAACAAAACCAATGGTCTCTGGTGGTTTTGATTATTGCATGGGTGTTACTAAGCAATTAAAGAAACTCCAATTATGATTCGACAAGGGAATTGCAGGTACCAAGGGATTTAGGCTAAATTAATTAGAGACAGTACAAAAGATTTCGTGGAGGTTTTGAAATGACTTAGATACAACGACTTTTAAGGGGCGCTCTAAATGACTACTTGAAAGCAGTCACGTGTGAATCCTTTCTATAGTATTTGTAATGATTATAGTGCAAGTAAAATCCCTCAATCTATTGTTTTTTGGTTCATTTGTAACTAACTTATCCCAATTTTCTTTGGTACTTTCAAATCCCTCATCCGAATATAGCCCCAAAGGAGTCAAACAAAGATCCAAAAACTGAAGGAAAATGTTAAATACAGTGATGATCATTACCCAAGTCATCAAAGTCCATCCATAAAAAAATCCATGTATTCTGATGGCTTCTCCATCTGGAGATTTAGAGGTACTGGCCAACAGGCATAAACTTCCCACAACAGACATCTCTACAGTCATCAAATACGATGAGTGTTTCTTAACCTGGAATATAAGAGCAACAAAGTTAAATTGACGAGACTGGGAAACAGCGCCTTCAAACTACAGGATCCGAAACTTTTTGCTCACCTGGGAAGCCCATTGACACAAAGAGGATGCCAAACCTGAGAGTACAGAGGCCACCAGGACAGGAATTATCCCTCTAAACAATATTTGGTCAGAACTGCCACTACTAGTCCCTTTTTTGGAGCCTTCCCCAAAACTTAAAAGAACAGCAGCCATAATCAATAAAACGAGCGCACCAATTTGTTGAATCGATTGCTTCTGCCTACACATGACAGATTGCACTCAAATATAAATCTAATGGGTGATCTCATACGCTCGGAACTCTCTGAATCAACTCACATTCAGCTAATTCATAAACTAGAAACTGAATAGCGACATATCTTAGGCTCAAACCACGACAAATTCAGTCTAATGAGTACTATATCATCAATATTCAAATGCCTTAGAGCTCTTTAAAAACTACCATAGCTACTTAACCCGGCACGAATATTTGGACTTTACAATGTATCCATTCCACATACCTCAAAATCAAATACGTAAAGAGAGCAGTGAAAATGATTTTAGTCTGGTTGAGCATTGAAAAGGTGAGCGAATCAAGGTTCTTGTAAGAAATCTGCAGCAAACTATTCTGCAATGCGTAAATGGCGGCGGGAAGCCCCGAGGCGGTCAGTGCACCAACCAACGTCCACTCTCTGTACACCTTCTTCAAGCTGCCGTCTCTAGCCATGAAAATTAGGGCACAGATAATCTTGGCTATCTCGCACGTCAGGACCGATGACGTCACGATCACTTCTCTACTGCGAGAAGAAATTACAGACAACATGTACAAGTTTTAGAGAATCAATCGGTGATTGGGGGATCTTAGAGATCGAGGAAGGGGTGGGAGTACCTGGTGAAGCGTTTGGAGATGAGGGGTTGAGCTCCGTACTGGAGTGTGAGTAGAAGGGAGTAGAACCAGACCCTTGAGTTTATTTTCTCTGCGCTCGGCGGCGCCGGAGCTTTTTGCTTTCCGGCCGCCATTTTTGGCGGCGACCTTGGGAGGCTGAGAGAGAGACCGTAGGAGATTTTTCCAGTGATTTGGAATCGTCTTTTGCTTCTACTTTGGGGAAGACACGGGGGGCCGGGCAGTCCCGACTCACAGTCAAATGACGTCGTTTTGAGTACATGTTATTTTGAAATATGAATCCTAATTACGCTTTTCTACTTTCCCTTTTGGTTTGTAGCCAATATGGTCCTAAAATTTGTATAACACATCATTTTGGTCCCTAGGATTAAAAATCAATAGAAATGGTCCCTGAGATTGTCCACCACCCATTATTTTGATCATCATGTTAAAAACTCCGTGAAGTGGTCCCATAGCGTATACCAAAAACTGAGATTTTTTGCCAGAAGTTTGGACAATTTTTAAAACTTCGTAATTCAATCGTTTCTTAACCAAATTCGACCCATAATATATCAAAAAGAAAATAAGAAAGTGTTGAACAAGATTATACATATTTAGAAGCCCAATGACTTCTCGACGAGATGAAGAGAATGGCACCTTTCTCTAACTCGCCGTGGTTTGGCCGAAAAACCGCTCGAAAGTGGCTAACTTGATGAGACCAAGATAGCCACTTTCGAACCATTTTCCGGCCAAACCACGTTGAGTTAGTTGTCGAGAAAGGTAGTATTTTCTTCTTCTCGTCGAGAAGTATGATTTTTAGTTTTGAATCACTCAATTTCGATGAGTATTGAAGAAGTTATGAACGTTTAAAGGTTACCCAGTTTCTGGCTAGTTTTTCAGTTTCCCACGAACCAGTCACCTTTCAAGATATTTTTCTGCCAAACCATCGAGAAATGTACCATTCTCTTTGTCTCGCCAAGAGGTATGATTTTTGTTTTTGAATCACTCGATTTCGTTAAATATTGAAGAAGTTATGAACGTTTAAAGTTTATCTAATTTTCGGTGAGTTTTCCAGTTTTCCCACGGAC